AGGAAAAAATGGTCAGTGCGTAAAAGGAGTACTCCACATTCTGGATAAAGGTTCTGAGATGTGATCAACTGAGGTCACAGCTATGTCAGCTTTATATACAAATTAATCTCTGTGTGCCAAAACAATCCCTGCAAGCTGCTGTTAGTCTGCAGAAAGCAGAACAACCTTCAGCCTAGTCCCCATGTCTTTCAAGATGGAAAACAGAACTATCTCTGTAAGTGACAGAACTAGAGACCATAATGCCTTTATTCCACTCTGCACTGATGGCTGCTTGATTGAAGTGAAAATCTGAATTCTGAAAACTTTAGACCAATAATGATGTCACAAAGCTCAGGTAGTGCCTTGAAGGCAACCTGGCACCTCCTGGAAGTCATCAAAGGTGTCTGTGGTTAGTTCCTGCACAGCACACAAGGAAAAATGGGTTTATAAAATTGGGCTCATACCCTAATAGTCAGCACAATGAGCAGTGAGAGGCTTAAGTTTACACCTGGGATTGCAGTGAGAGGAGTTTAAGTCTTCTCTATCTTAAGTAGTGAGATGCTAGACTAAAAACCTCAGAAAGGCATAGTTTTCCATCTCTTAGTGATCCCTGAGCAATTATCTCCAGTTCCTTCATGAGAAGGTTGCAGCAGAAGCACATCTCAATTTTAAGTCCCAGCAGGTGTCTGCAGGGTTATATAAATTCAGGTTTTCCGAGCAAACACGAATTACATACTGGGGCCTTTTCTGGATTGTATCTTGAATCGACACTAAAATGTGCCTTGCCTGTGAGGAGGATGTGGGCTGGTGCTGAGTCTATCACTCTCTTCCCACTTCTCCCATCTTTAGTAAAAGCAGTTAAAATCTAGTGAGAATACTGTGCATTTATATACTGTCATAGCTATCAAATGTGCAACATTTTATCACTGTGCCTCCAGAAGACCATAATAAAGGATCCTGAAGACAGGATATGCCAATCATACTACATAACTGAAATTTTAATTAAAAGTTCTGCAGAAGCAAGACAGAAATAACGTACCCTGTATTATATGGTGCCCCAGTGTCAGATAACACAAAATGAAAAAAATAACCTTTGTAAGACACAGATGAAGATAACAAAGGTGTTTTGCCTTAGTAAAAACTTCATTCAGAGCCTCTTTCCTGCTGCTCAAGAGATGAGGGAAAAAAGGAGGATGGAGATGCACAAGGCAATGAAAGCAAGTGAACACAGACCAGTCCTAGTTTAACCCAAGAGCAAATTAAAAGATGGCCTGGGTGCAACTATGGAAATTCTCTATAATTAATAAAAGCCTATGGTTTCTCATTCATCCCAATACATGTATTTCAAAAAAGTATAATGCATTTAGTCCACTGTTCTTAATCAATCCTGAAGGATCAACCACACAACCAAGCAGTTGACACTCTATTTCTTAAAACTTGGGTGCTCTGGCTGTTTTTTTACTGGAGTGCCCAGCTCCCCACATGTCCCAGAGTATTCAAAGGAAAATGGTTCATGCTAAATGGCACAACTTAAGAACTGGTGACCCATAGGATGAGAAGAGTGGCCAGCAACAGTCAACACAATTTTCTGGTAGGATGAGAAAGTGGTGTGGAACCCTCCTGAACCCACAGGTTCTGAGGTAGCTTTTGACCCTGACTTTCACATTTAGAAGTATAAGACTATCTACAACACCTGTACAGCCATGATAGGAGAATGACTGATGCAACTGTCTAACAGCTAATGCCTAGTCCCCAGTAGACAGACCTGAATCTTGCTATGGGATGTATCATGACAGTGGTGTTGATCACCAGGGTCATTACACTGAGAGCTTGGCAGGAGCACAGGTATGAGATTCACCCACAGCACAGCCCTGCAACCATGGCCCAGCAAAGTGCCACGGAGATGGCTCTCACAGGGGGAATCTGCACATCTGTCCCAGAAGGAGTCTTGGAGACATGATATTATAAATGCCTGAGATGAATAGATTTGACTATCCTCAATTTATCAGGCTCTTTGCAAAAGCAAGATATTTTTGAATACCAGAATCCCATTTGCCCTTTTTTCTCCACACTACAATCTCCCTTTTATATCTTAAAATCTTTTAAATTTTCTCACAATCTAGTCAAATCCAACATACTATTGCTACCATTGTACTATTAATTACCATTAAATATGCCATTCTGCTATTGAAAAACATATGACAGACCACCTTAAGTTGGTATCTGCCCTCTGAACATTAAAATAGGGTTAATAGATTTGTAAGCCAAAACGTAATTGAGTGTTTTGTTGGACTTTTGTTTACTAGTTTAATGGTGTGACAGGTATTGTGCAATAACCCCACAGAAAACAACTGTCCTGTCCTGTCACAAGGTAAGCCTATACACAGCTGGATAAAAGCTATGATTCTCCTATTCCCATACATTAAATGCTTAGGCTAATGAGCTTTTATTAGGAACAATCTTGTTTCCACTGGGCTCAAAACAAAAGCTTTAAACAATGTTAACTGAAGAGCTATTGGGACAATCCAGGACTGAATTTTGGATGGCTAAAGCCTTTTACGTAAAATGAACTAAAAGCAGCTGATTGTATTATGGTATCATTCTTTTAACTGGATATTAAAATAGTCAACAAGTAAACATAATTGTCCTAATTTGAAATACAGGGAAACTGAGGAACACAAAAGCAAAGAAATTTGTCATAATTGAGTATTTTAACAAGCTTAGGGTCCCTATTCAATGCTGTACTCACTAGTCTTACTGCCTACTTATTTAGCAGCAGAAAATATTTACTTGGTAGAAAAATGACTTTTTTGTTTTGGAGAAACATCCTAAGTCGGATCCTGAATCACAAATTAAGACTGTTTTGCACCTTCTTTCTTGAGAAACTTAATGACATGGCTGTTTCCTTATCAAGAAATATTGGGCTTTTCTTCCTAGTAACATGACTTTCAAGGAAAAGAAGTCAGACAGGAGCTACTGTTAAACATCTTTTTATTGTAGTATTTAATGTACATGCAGAATTTTAAAAAAGTGTCAGTTATATCTGTAAGCGTATAACAACAATGTAAATATCTTGGATCAGCAATGTATTTGGATTAGGGACTAATAACTCTAAGTGAACAGACATCTTTCAGGATATGCAGTTTATATCATAAATCAAGGTTTTCTTCAGAGTGATTTTCCTCATAAAAAGATAAAATATTTCTGGTTTACAATCTCGTTTGGTTTTTAATACTGAAAAAATCTAGAATAGTACACTCTCCATTATGTACATAGAAAAACATAAAACTATATCCATACCAGTGTCTGTTTTAAATGCAAATAGTAGTTAACAGCTTTGTAGATTTTTTGTGCATCTTCTCCCTTCTTCCTCCCCCTTTCCCTCCCCCTAAAAAATGCAGCATTTCCTAAAGTTTTCAATGCTTTGGCAGAAATGGAACTGAAGGCACTCCCGTGTTAGGTAAAGCAATATGTGAAATATCAGCGCTAAATAAAAAAAAGCTGCAGGTGTACCAGACAGCTCCGTGATCATCCCAAGGGCCAAATCCTGCACTCTCCAAGGTCAAGAACTGGTTTGCCGGAGATCCCACCTGGAGTAGGCTCAGGCCCCAGGCTGGTTTACCTGATTAGCTTCACAACTATTTTTACAAATGCTTCAAGCAAACCGCGTGGGGATGCAGAGAGCATCTCTGAACACAGTACTATCACAAGGGCAAAAAGCTCCTGCAGGTCACAGCATCAGAACGTGTTGCCAAGGCTTTGCTTTCCCAGGCCCTGTGCTTTGCAACACGGTTGTTTCACACAACACCCTCAGTTTAAGACTTCCTGATGTCGCAGCTCAGCTAAAAACAAACCCACCCATGAACGTGAAGTTTCCAAACCATCTCTTTTGATGGATTAGTTTAGACTCAGCAAAGCATCCGGAAGATACTCAGCGTTTGTCCTGAAAACAATCCGTGAGCTAGTGGCAACCTGACTGGTGCTGACAGGGAAGCTTTGAAAGCTGATAGAAAGGTCTCTCAGGGGCAGCTCCTCCTCAGCCTCATGTGGCTTGTTTGGCACACCCTCATTTTTCTTGTAGCTCAGGGTTCTCTCTGGCAAACCTGCGACACGTATTTATCTGAGTACTTTGAAAAAAAGAAAAAAAAAGAGACCAACACAAAAAGCCCCAATCTATGAGATAAGCACCTAAATGCTCACCAAGGGATGTGTTGTTAAGTCACAGTCAGGAAAACACTTCCATAATAACCAGTTTCAGTTCTCAACTGCAGTTTGCTTCTGCAAACCTTACAGAAGCTGAGAAGCAACTGGATGCAAACTTCCAAGAAAGAAAGAAAGAATGAGACAGAAAGGCACCGACCAAGGCTTTTTATACACATGAAAAGTTTTCATGTGTCAGTCTCTCCAACCTGATACTGTGTTAGATTTTTGGGATATATAGTAGTTCAGTAATTTGTTTACTTCACTGATGTATTCATAGTGCACCATATCTGACCATGACTGTAAATAGCTGCAGTCAACTGACAATCCAATTGAAAAAGAACATTCTACTAAAACCTGCCAGCTGGTCACGTTCATTCTGCTGCAATAGCTCTGTGCTCTTTGGCCACAATAAAATGAATGGCTTTACAGTGTTGGAAAGCATTTTTGTCATTCTTCAGTATCACTGTGGATTTACCTCACAAGAAATTTAGGGTGAGATAAAAAGGCATCCAACAACACTTCAGTCTCTGAATTGACCTGACAGCAAAATGATATGCAGCTGGCATGGAAGAATAGACATTTAAGGTTAGTTAGAATTGCAGACTGAAGGAGAAAAAAAAAAAAAAAAAGGCACGTAGTCCAGTAAGAATAAACATTAGAATAAGAAACTGAGCAAGTGATTCTTTGTTTTGGGCCAGTATATTCATCACCAGTTGCTCTGTGTTGCTTTGAGAAACATGAAACTGGCACCAAAACACTCCAAACAACACAAAACTCCCTCCCCCTGCCTAGGCTGATGGCTTTCCTTGAAACGTCCCTCAAATCTCCTTCCGTACTGTGGCTCGGATGTGGCTGAACATTTTGCCTATGGCCTCAAACAGGGGGTCGCAGAACGTGTGGACGCCGATGGAATAGACACGACTAATGCACTGGATCTCAATCAGGTAGCTCCTTATGCATGGCACCACCACCCAGATGTGCAGGAATGACAAAATGGCAAAGTAGATGCCCCAGATGACAGCCATAGGAATGCCAAAGATAGCTGTCAGTAAGCGATAAAACCAGTACTTCATTACAGTGAAGGTGGTAAAACTGGCCTTCCAAATCCCATCAAAGCTGTGTGTTCCCTCTGGCTCAGCAATCACATCTTCAAAATCAATCTGCAACAAAGAACACAAAATCAGGTCAGTCAGACGTTTGCATCAAGCGTAGAGTCCAGAAACCCATTTTCTTGGACAGCAATGATCTCCTGCACTGAAGCACCAAAGCATGTACTTCCTATATCCCACCATGATTAAAACCATTTTAATACATCATTTAGGCCAAGAACCTTTTCAGGGACTATCTTTTTCCAGTGACTATCAGGGAGCCTCAATAATTAGCTCAAAATTAGACATCTAACATCCAGACAGAGATGAACCGCCCAAAACATATTTTCCTAATGTACTACAACCCTAAGGGTGGGGAGTACCATTGAAGTCTACTTAAGGGATGAACCAGGTGAACAGAGACATCAAGCTTTCATTGCCTAACTTAACCATTTCACATCTTTTCATACAGAATAAATGCAGTTACTACTTTGACTTTTTCCACACCTCAAGCATGCATCAATAAAATGTCTTTTATTCATCTGAATTACCCCATCTTTCCTTGTATAACACTGCTGAGTGTTGACCATAAATAAATGGTGAGGGTAGCTATTTAAATATATACTTTGAAGCAGACATAGATAGCTGTTAATAGAATGAAAAATAAAATCTTAGATGTTGAGCTGTATCTGGTGGAGTTCCTCCTTATTCTGAAAGTATTAGGGAGCTCTTTCATCTTACTAAAAGTAAGGAAGATCTTCATATTAGAGCCATTTTGTTCTAGGCTGTCCTGTTTATGTGGTAACACTGTTCATGAAAGACCCAGCCAGGCTAACATATTAATATTTAGAAAGAACACACTCTTCCACATATTTCATAGTTTTGACTATTAGTCATAAATCGTTCAAAAATTGACTTAAGGAAACAGTGCATTCCAACAGGCATGTTTTGCCTCTCTCTGTTGAAATACTGAACTATTCAGGAAGCTTAATTGTCATAACATTTCTATTAGAAAATTAACAGAATTGTGATGATAGTTCAGCTCCATGTCACAGAAACATGTGTTTGATATAACACACAATACAGGATATTTAATTTATTCAGCACAACCAACTGTATAGGTACTGCATTCAACAGGAAAAAGAACATCACAAAACTCTTCCTTTGCAAGAAACTAAGTTACTGTTTAAATCAGATGAAAGAAAAAATGCATTCCTGAGACTGGATCCCAAAGTGAGTTGCTGTTGCTGCTGTAAGTGAAAATTTACAGGAGTGGGGTAAGTATGGTATGGGCCAGTGGTGTCAGGAATTTAGGCAACAGTACCTTAGCATGCTGGAAATAGGTGAATATACATACACTCAGTGTAAGTATTGTTTATACTGTAGGAGAAGTCTCACAATTACTCATTTAAATCTAAAATATATGTACAAATTGGAAAGCACTGCTCTCTCTCTGCTGTTGAGTCTTCAGCAACCTCAAAAAAGAAATTATCAACTAAAGGAAAAATATTTTAAGACCACTGGACTTTGCAGTTTCTTAAAGAAGAAAGATCATTCTAATGCAAGAAAACTCTAGGTGCAATTTACTTGAAGGGCTTGAAAGTCCTTGGGAGGAAATTTCTGCATCAGCTGTGATACCAAGTATCTTGAAAGCCTAATATCAAGCTGGCTTAATTCAACATATTATTAGGCCTAAACGTCAGTCTCAGCCAGTGATTGTCTCTAGACATAATGCAAACTATAAACCTCCTCTTTACCTGCCACTCTGAACTAGGCTTTAGTGATCTGAAAGTGATCTATGATTCTTTGGGAGGGGAATTCACCACATCATCACCATCACACCTGAAGGTATCATTTGGGTTGAAATTCTGCCTCCACAGAAACCAATGTCAGACTTTGTCCAGGCAGAGCACCCAAGGAGCACATCTCAGCGTTGTGCACTTGTCCATAAAGGTGTGTGGGGCTGAAAGTCTTTCTGGACTTTATGAAACTAGGCAGCATAATTTTAATTAATAGCTACAAAATAGAGAAAATGTAAAGAGAGTTTAGATCATGGTTCTCTTCTGCAATAGTGTCTAAAGACAGCACAGAAAGTACACAACGTTCACTGCTGAAGACAGGAAATTGGGAATTATTAGGGCTCTGTAATTTCAGTGGGTGCAAGATTGAAGGTCTGGTGGAAATAACTCCAATTCTCAGAAAGGCATCATGGACAACAATATGCTATTTATTTTCCTTGTGGGGTTAATAGACTAGTTCATGTCTGGGGACTAAACAACAGAGGAAAAAAGAAAGCTTTATGAAGTGTATTGGCCATAAAGTAATTACATTAATCAGTCATTAGAAGTTAGATGCAGTGTAGTAAGACAGAGCAAGGAACCTTCCTGAATGTATTGTGATCTTTTTACCAAAAAAACAGATGGCCTTGTATCAATCATGGGATTTTAGGACTGCATTATGAAAGAAAGAAGAAAAGGTTGTAGAAGTGTACATGAAGAAGTCACTAATATCTACTGATGATGGCATATAATAGTCTTATCACAGAATCACAGAACAGTCATGGTTGGAAAAGACCTTTAAGATCACAGAGTCCCATCTTCCCACTCCCCTCTGAAGATTATTTCAAAATTTGCATATTGTCCGCTGAAATCAATCTCATTCAACTGACTACACGTGTTGGAAAAATGTAGGCCTCAGTTTATGGAGCATATATATCTTATTTTTTGGCATAGACAAGTATGCATACTTACAGTATCTGCTTCTGCAGCTATTCGAAAGTTAACCTTTGATTGTAGCCCATATCCCATGTTAGCTCATTTTCAAAGAGAATGAGTATTGGCTTATTATCAATGTTTGCCTTGAAATCAGGTAACAAAAATATGCAGATGATGTCAAAACCCAAGATGATACAGCAAAAAAAGCTGCTTCTCAAAACACTGCTACTACATGAATGGATGCCCTATCATTGGAAGTGGTCAAGGCCAGGTTGGATGGGGCTTTGAGCTACTTGGTCTAGTGGGAGGTGTCCCTGCCCATGGCAGGGGTGTTGGAACTAGATGATCTTGGAAGTCCCTTCCAACCCAAACAATTCTATGATTCTATGAAGACTACACTCCCTTATTCTAAAACTTCTGGCAATTTATTGCATGCTTCCCACCAGTTGATGCTGTGATCCTTGACAGAGCCAGTTTGTGCTCATAGCCATCATAGAGCAGTCCAGTGCATTGAGGGCTATTCAAGGTCATGCCTAAGGTCTTTTTATTCAGTTCAGTTGTGGTGGAGTCTTTCTTGTATTTTTTCAACTGGTCCATAATGGAAATATTAAATCTTAGCAGGAAAGTAAGTTTGCATTGAGTTCCATTGCCTTTTCGTGGTTGCATTTTTAATTTAGCTAACTGAGACTTATTTTTATCAGCAAAGTATTTTTTGGCATGCAAAAAAGAAACCATAGCTTCACATGAATTTCCTAGAAATTTAAAAATAAATAGAAGGACTGGCCTGTAATTCAATTATTTTCAAAATAATTAATTATGATGAATGTTTTCCTGTAAAATGGAAGCCAGTAAATTCACTGTTTTTCAAATGAAATGGTAAACTTTCTGTAATCTTAATTCTCTGTAACTAATATTTTTAGCCTGTTGTGCACTCCAAGATGTCCACAGAGTTAACCCAGCAGAGCTGACAGAAGAATCATGCCAAATACCATTGCCAGATAGAGAGCCCTGTCCTTATTCCAGGAGATGGTGCTAATATTAGAACTTATATATCTTTGGCCAGGATTTCCCAGCTCAAATCATGCACAGTTGTCTTAAAAGGAATTAGTCTGTCTGTGAGATGATAGCAGAGGTGTATTCATGAACAATTGTCAAGAGGTTACTCTGTTGGAGCAATTTCAACAGCTCTTGGTATGTTTTTGCCAATGCACAGAAGATGCATAGATGGTGCTCGAAAAGTCATAACTGATGTCCTACTACCACATCTTTCCCATTTCAGTATTCCTCAAGTCTCATGTTCTACATTGCTCCAGTTTAAATAAGGGAGATACCAAACTGAACTTGAGCGTGAAGACAGAAAAATAGCCCGGCAACTCTAAAAACTCTCAGCTGAGTAGTGTTAAAATGAAGCTGCTATGACCCTGAAAGCCATAGGAACGTTATGAAATGAGGTACATGTCCAGAGTCCAGCCGTGACTGGAACGCGAACCTCTGCGGTGCTGTCCCAAAACCACACTTACCCACACCAGTGTGCAGTCTAAATAAAGACAGGCAAGGAGCTAAAGTGATCTGGGCTCTTCTCAGCTGCTAAGAGATCACGTACAGATCCACTGGCTGGGAAATGCTCTATTTATTTCACTGTTTAGGCAGTACAGAAAAGTCTTTATGCTGCAGGAACTGAGATATCACCCAGATTCTTCCTGCACTGAACCACTCCCATGAAAGATCCTGTTTTTAACTCACAGGGATCAGTCCTCCACAAGCAGCAGGAGAAATGGGTGACTGGATGCATTTTGCCTTGCTATGGGTTACATTTATATCACTGGAATTACTCACTCCTCAGGCCCTCCTATTACCCTCCTCTGGTTTTCAGTTCAGTAGCACTCACTGATGGTGAGTGTCATCAGACTGGTAATGGGACTCCAATTGCACTAAGTAAAGTAAAAATAGGACTGACAGGAGAAAGAGAAGTGGCCAGAAATACAATCCTAGGGAAGAAAGACACTGATTTCTGGAAATGAGTCTAACTGGCTTGCATGGGTAAGACACCTTTTTTAGGGTATTGTTGCCGAGACCACTTTTGCCAAAGCATCACGTGCACATAGATCTGTGAAGAACTCTGTTTTGTCTACCCAAAGGCATGATTAGGTTAGGCACAAGTCTTGTTGGGTAGACTGCATGTTCAGTGTGCAGTTTGTTCCTCCAGCGCTGTCAGGGTGTGCTGTGAGATCACATTAGTTATTTGCCAAGCTAACGAATATACAGGCACGTTCACTAGAAGTGAAGGAAATTTGTTTTGACCCTCTAAGGGATGCTAATAACTCATTTCAGCCTCCTGTTTTAGCCAAAGCCATTAAACACTATCAACTCCTGTTCCATGCCTACAATACACTTCCTGACTTCAGCTATTCTTTGTTTCCTACTATTCAGTTTGGTAAAGCCAGCTTTTACATTGCTTGAAGCTTTTGTCTGATTCTGCTACTTACCACAGGTTCTTTTGCTCTGCATATGTTTCTTAAACTTGTATCAGGAAATTAAGGAACCTGCTTTGATTCTAAAAGAGATTTATTTACAAGAAAGGGAAATGGTATGGGCAATTTGTCTTCTTTTTTCAAAGTCTGTTTGAAGAAAAAACCTATTAACTAATAAAAGCTTAGCAGAGTGAAGTTACTGTTTCTTTCAAAAATCCCAACTGACTTGATACATGAGTTACATGCAAAAAGAGATGACCTGTTGACCTTGCTACTTTAGTCCCTAGGTATCAAAACCTGGCAGGTTGGGAAGGTGTGTTAAATGGCAACTTCAAATTGCCCACTTACCAGTTGTGCTTCTCCTTGAAAGTTTGTTCTTTGAGGTACATAATATCCATTAAATTGAAAAATCTACTGTGTTGGCGCTATCAGAAAAAAAAAAATTAATTATTAATGCCATCAACATTTTATAGGGGGTTTGATCTAATCTACATGTCTGTGATCGTAGCTGCAATTATTCAAATCTTTTGTGTGTTGTAGCTTTGTTCTGCTACTGTGCTCAGAGCAGGCAGTTTGCACAGACAGGCACCACTACTACTCTACAGAGGAGAAACTCAAATAGGTGCCGAGGATCCCCACGTTTTTGAATGCTATCAGTACCTTTGGAAGACAGTGAAAGGATGCTTAGGTCCTTACCGGATCTCTCTTGAACCACCATTAATACCTCTGATCAGGCAAAAATATATGCACACAACCTGAAAATTGTGAACTGTCCCACTTATGTCAATATGCTCATGTCTTCTGTCAGACCAAGGCTATAGTCGACTCTGAATGTATAGTTACGCAGGGAAAAGTCACAAGCTAGTTTATTTTACATTTTTAGCAGACAGTATGGAAACTGTCTTTACTATTTGCTCTGTGCTGTTTTTATACCATTTTTTCCCTGATACCAAAACTGTAAGTATAATATTGTTTCACCATATTACAATGTCCCTGTAAGACTTGAAACAGAGATACAGAAAAAAACAGATACGATATTTTTTTTCTGTTGTAGTAAATGCAATTTGCAAGTTTTACTGATGCATTCTAAAGAAACATTCTGCAAAAGAAAATGTATAAAAGATGACAAAATGTCAAGTCACAGAAACCTATCACAGAATCACAGAATCCAAGGGGTTGGAAGGGACCTCGAAAGATCATCTATTCCAACCCCCCTGCCACAGCAGGATCACCCAGAGCACATCACACAGAAACACATCCAGGTGGGTTTTGAATGTCTCCAGTGAAGGAGACTCCATAACCTCTCTGGGCAGCCTGTTCCAGTGCTCTGCCACTCTCACAGTAAAGTTCTTCCTGATATTCACATGGAACCTCCTATGCTCCAGTTTGCATCCATTGCCCCTTGTCCCGGCTCCATCGTCCTGACACTCACCCTTCACATATTTGTAAACATTTATGAGATCGCCCCTCAGTCTCCTCTTCTCCAAGCTAAAGAGACCCAGCTCCATCAGCCTCTCCTCATAAGGGAGATGTTCAACTCTCTTACTTATCTTTGTGGCTCTCATTCTATGGCATGAGTCACACTCGGGAACTGATGTTCAGGACAGGTGCAGCACTGCTAACTTCAGTGAAGGCCATGGTGTATGTTATTAAAAATAAGAAAATGAATGAGTATAGAAGGTCATTATTAGTTTTTGTACTTTCATGTACTATTTGGAACTTAAAAATTGTCAAATACAGTGCTTGGAGAACAACGGACATCATAGCAGCAGAAAAAAATTCAAGCAATAAGCTCACAGCCATTCAGTTAGATCAGTGATATCAACCAAACATCTAGATGTTTTCTTGACCCTATGAAATACTGTTTCCATGTCTGCTGATCATTGTCTTCCCAACCACTGCCACAGTACATCAGAAAATGATGAAAAAAGCATAGAAGGTTTTTTTCTGCTGAATCTGAGGGAAAGACCATGGGGATGTTTGGGCTTATGGGAGTAAAGCTGCTTTTCTCCCTTCCCCTCACCTCTCAGACATTAGCAGACCTGTTCATGCTTTTAAGAGCATTGTGTAATCTCCATCTGGCAATTGTTTACCTGTAGCAGAGAAGATGGTACTCTGCTCCTGAAAACACAGAGCTTCGTTATGCCTCGATGTTCTATTTCATCACTAATCATTGTTTTCAACATTAGGTGCTGTCAGGCATGCAGTAAAGGCAAAACTCCTTCTGTTCCAGAGTATTCATGAGCCTCAGGGTATAGCATAGGTGACTACGAAACATTAATATCCAGCACCATTCAGAGATGCAATCAGTTCCATCACAAGACAAGAAATGACCTTGACATGGTGGCAAGCATCTGACAAGGGAACCCTGCAAGTCCCCCAAGGCTGGGCTGCAGCAAGATTAGGCTCTGCCTGTGAACCTTGAATGCTGTCTTCAAAACACACTTGGTCTTCTGGGGACTGGCCAGATCAGCAGGCACAAGACTCACTCCTTTGCAGTAAAAAAGATATGCTGTGACTGCAGATGGCCAGGACCATAGTTTTTATGTAAGGCTGGTTAAGTGCAGAAAAATGAGAAACAAATAATTCCAAAGTAAATGAAACCTTTAACAAGCAAGCAGA